GGTGTTTAACGGTGGGATGATTACGAAAGTCTGGTTGAAAATAAGTGGGATATGTCTTGCTTTCTTTCAAATACCGACCGAGTTTTATGTCTGGACGGACTGACGAATCAGAATATCCCACTTTGTGGGCTTGGATTCTGCCGTGGTGACTGCAGTTTTTGAATCTCTGTCCTTTTAGTTTTGTTAGACGTTTCGGCACCTCCATTTTGTGGTTTTGTAAACGAAATCACCGCAGTCCAGTGTCGTGTACCCAAATACTCTAATGTCTAATGTCATTAAAAGCACTTCCTCGTAATTATAATTAAATATAACGCGTATCTATGAATTTTAATGCTATTAATAAGTCTTTTAATGTTAATCGTACGTGGATGGCCCATTTGACTTTTTCGCTTTAGAGGCGTGGGTCGAAAACTCTCAGGTTTGAAGGTTGTGCCGTGTAGCGAATTGTCTGAAACAAAAGAAGACTGGCTCTCTGTTTGCGTATGGGCGTCACGTGACGTGAGGACCTTGAGTTGAAAGTGGAGAGGTTCATTATGTTGCTGACAGAGGGGACTGCCCACAGGTAAATGTTGTGGGAGCTTTGGACAGGCGACAGGGCTCAGGTTGCAACTGGAAATATCCTGGCAGGTGTTTGTGTACAACTTTGTTCTAGAAAGGCGGGCGGACCTGCATTTCTAGAACGTTTCTGTCTTAAAATGCCTCTCAAGGCCACGTGAGTGCGTGCTTATCTGAAGTCTGCTTTCGCTCGTAAGTCACTCTTGTCCTCACGCCAGTGACAGGTTTGAAGTTTAGAGATCGCAATGCATCAGTCAGCTGTTTACAATCGAATGGTTCTACCGGATATGAGTGGCAGTATTATCGAAAACTGCGCGTTTAGGACACGAGCATTTGCAAGAGAATTGATTGTATTTTAAAAACCTCTGTTCGAAGCTCTTTATGTCTCCTTTCTAGCGTGTTTTATATCGTATGCACAGTAATCGACACAGTGATACATAATTGAAAACGTTGTTTTATCTGTTGTCTTTGAAACGAAACTGTACGTGAGATATGTTGCAGTTACTATGGTCATTAAACATGAAGTATAGCTTTCACTCTTCTCGGTTGCCATGTTAGTACACTCCACCAGAAGAAGATTCAATGTATGTGTTATCTGGTAAACTTCTTTTTACTAAAGTTACATACTTACTGCTATAATTTTGTGAGGAATTCCGTCGGGTGAGGGGTGAGGAAATTGGTAGGAGTGCGCATGCTCAATGTAAGTCACGTAGCCCCGTGGCGACATCTGTTAACGAAGTTTGTAAGCCGAGTAATAGAAGCAAAGCTGCTTAAGTCACATTCCTTTACGTGGTGAAATCCGAAACAGAAGGAGACACGAGTATAATTTAGCAGTTGTATGTATTATTTTCGAACAATTAAGGAGAATCACCTGAAGATGGCTAATTAAGGTAGAAACATGTAGTGGATTCTTGATAAACATTGAAGTTATATTGAGAATTTGTTTGTCTAGACGGACTGTCAATACGTAAGAGGCTGAATTTTCTATAAACGCCGTTTGAAAATATAAGACGTTCAATGGAGTTCAAATTTTTATCTTGAACGAAAAATGGTCACGTTTGGCTTTAAGCGAGATTTTGATTTACCTTGAGTTATACATTGTCTACGCACTAGACACGTGTTTACAGGACCGTTTTGTAACTTGACTTCATTTTTCGGAAAACTTTGTGTCTCTAAAGGCTGTTCTAGAACTAGAAGTTTCTTTTTATTTCTCTAGAGAGAAAGGTTCCTTCATACGCCTGTTCAATTCTATTTTCGCCTTTTTTTTATCCAAATATATTGGCAGCGAGGAACTTACAGAAGACGTAGAAACAAAACACTGCTGTGTTCCGTCCTTTTTATTTTTATTTTTCGTATCTTAACTTTCCGTTGAACAGACGGTAGCGAAAATGATGTATGTAAATGTACACTCAACGACAAAACATTAGTCACTTTCATGACCTAGCTGTAATGTTTCATGCCAATGAAATTCTTAGTTTTCGAAGAATTTTTTTCGGAACAATTTAAGATCATTCTGATCTGAGTTTTTCTGTACAAGATCCGTGATATTATAATCTATTATTATTTACTTACATTTCCTTGTGTCTTAAGTTACGTTAACCGTGATTTTTTATTAAACGGAGTTTATGAGTACTTCGTTTTAACACTTAATAATCATTAACCTGTTCGCTTAATCTAGAATCTCAGTCTAGAATAAACCAATTTTGGTCGATACATTTACATAAAGAACCTTGAATGTAAATTTTCCCTCAGACGAAATTGGATGATGCTACGTTGATAATATCTCCATGGCATTGCTTTTCCTTTGGATAAAAATGACTGGTTTTTTTTCATCTTTTGTAAACCTCGATTGTAATAGCTTTCATTCCTACAGATTCGCTCTTAACACATTAATCTTCATGAATTATAATTTTATATCCGATAACTCTAAACTATTTCTTTATATTGTACTCCAAAAATGCATTTAGGACCCCAGGAATTTATTTATCTACAAAGTACTTATTAATATTCTATTTGATTAAGGCAAGAGTTTCGTGATATGTGACTTAAAAGTAATGATCTATTATAGGAATCTCGAAGAAAAACACACTTTGTATAAGAATGAAAATTTTAATAATTTAGAATATCTTTTTGATGGCAAACAGAGAGTTATTACTCTGTTTCAGTGATAGATTTAGGATCTCGTGTCTCTCTTTCGCTCCGGTTGAAATGTAAATTATTATAACGTTATTGAAATAGGCACAAGTTTCGATATTTGATGTCTGATGCATGTATCGATTGTTCCTACACGCACAAAGTTTGAATTTCGACCTTACAGGGTTTGCACTGTCACGTACCAAGAAGTTTACACTTACGATCTGAAAACAACGAAACGAACTAAGTCGATCTTATAAAAAAATTCAACAAATCGTAGAATTTTATATGTTATTTGATTTTTCAGAAATCTTAGAATTTTTCGATCGCAATTGGACTAAATTTATGGCTGTGTGGGGTGCTGATTCGATACGACGAATTTCCCGACCAAATATTTAGTATGTTTCACTCTTTTTTTTTTTTTTTGGAGTTTTTCGAAATAATTTGTCTGAAAATGTCTCGCAACTGCGATTACTTTATGAGATGTCTTATCTATAACTTGTGTTGACTGAAAATAAGTTTTACTGTGGTTAATATTAATTATTTTTTGTGTATAATATAGTATATATTTCTTAATCCTTTACCTTTATCATGAACTTTCTCTGTTAGAATATCGTATGACTTTCGTGCATATCCAACATCATGTGTCATTGGTAGAAATTCTTTACGATTCCACCTTTCTTGAAAGTTAGATGGAACAAATACTACAAATGTACCTTTTTTCGTTTGTTTCAGGTAAGGGAACCTAAGCGACTGTTTTCCTCAACAGCATTCAGCAGTTGATGTTTGTAATCGAGACGCAGTGTTCTCTTTGAGGTACGGACCGCAATTTTTTTTCAATATAAATTAGACGAGCTTTTGGCATTGATAGGACAATTAATTTAAAGAGTAATTGATGGGCTGAGTATGTAGCAAGAATGACAGACCATTAATTTTATAGTGCTCATAATAAATTAATATGTTAGCAGATATAACAGTAGAATCATGTTAAGAACTTAGATGTACGTTTAAGGATAATATTAAAACGCGCGTTGTATTATTAACGTGGTTAATATGCGTTTAAGCACAGATAATCCGAAAATATTTGTAGTATATTCGTCGAAATGTTTAATTTAGAGTCTTTGAACAAAATGGACTCATGAATGAACGAGATTTCTCTGTTATCAACGTTCGACAGCTTTGGTTTTGTTTATTCCTTGTAATGCTGTGAAGTATAGTGAGTTATATTGGCACAATATTTTTTAAAGACACGGCTTCAAAGTGACGTAAAATTTGCGTTATTAACGTCAGTTCGAGCTTGGAGTTTCGGAACAAACGTGAACTGATCAAAGTTTTGACAGCGTTTCATTAATACAAGATCTTGTTTGTGTTTGATGATGGCTTTGTCGTTTTGTGAGTAATTCGTAATCCTCTGAGGAAGACCCAAACAAACCTTTAGGCGTTTTGCTTCTGAGAATCGCATTTTAAGCGATTCATCGGAATTTCTTCAAAGAGAAAGCCATTATGAAGAGTCTTGTCGTCTCTTGCGTAGAGCCCCGAGCGTGATAAAATATTTATTTATGTAGCAGTGCGACTTAAGACCCAGTTGTTGTTTAGTTGTTAAGATAAGCGTACAGAAATAAATAAAATAGGCTCTGATACGAAGTCAAGCAGGTTGCCTGAAGCGTTGGCGATTCTGACTTATGTTTGAGAGGTCCCAGTTTGAATCTCGATGGAACAGCATGCTGTCCTTAGTGAGTCTTCAGTCACGTCAGGCTAATGACTGGACAGTATTTCTTACAATTCATGACAATTACGAGGTGCGATCGGAAAGTTTCAAGACTGCGCCTATAAAAACACGTACACTTATCTCAGGTATTAAGTTCATCCATCACCCTCGAAATAGTTCCCCTGGGAGTGAACACAACGAGCCCAGCGCCGCTGCCAAGCCTGGAAGCATCCCTGGAAATCTTTCTTTGTCAGCCTGTCAAGCACCATCTGCGATTCTGCCTGAATCTCTTCTATCGTCTCAAATCTCCATCCCTTTAGCTGAATTTTCATCTTTGAGAAGAGGAAACCTTAGAAAGGAAGTTGGGGTCGGTTCTTGCAAGATCTTTGAGCTCCTGACAAACGAGAAGTCGATTCTGCTTCTGGTCCTCAGACAGGAGCCTTGGCACAAACTTGGCCGAGATGCGTCGCATGTGGAGTTCTTCCTTTAGAATCAGCTATTGACACAGTCTTGAAACTTTCCGATCGCACCTCGTATTGAACAAGACAACGAACCTTCTACTTAAATATAACACAGTTCATCTTTTTGACTGCCTGAAGTGAGATTTGATCTACTGCTTCGTACCAAGTTCAAATATGAAATATGTTAGTATCTTGCTGAAAGATCTTTTCGCGATGGGCTCAGACATTCTTATGCAGGGCGAAGGCCGAGGTTAGAAGTTCGATTTCTCCCCTACATCGTCTCTAGTGCTTTCACTTTATCCACAGCATCCATATTGCCAAAGCCCTATTCCAGTCTGATGTTTCATCTAACTCGGTCTAACATGAAAACAAAACACTTACGCCTATAGTCCTGTCAGTTCTTTCAATTTCCCTTCTATTACTACAAAAAGGTGTTTGTGTGTAACATTTGTACGGATACAGGATGGTCCACACTGGAACGGCTTTTAAAACGTCTTACAAAAGACGGATTTTCTTGGTTCTTGAATTCTTTTAATTTATTGATAATAGAATCAGCTTTAGACAGCATGGACGTTATGACAGACTGCGGAAAATTATGGTAATATAAATAATAATTTCATTGGTTTACATGCTTACTATATAACATCCGGCCGAAGGTTCAAAAGTTTTCAAGGTCATTCAAAAGTAGGGTAATTTTTATGAAGGAACACGAAATGCTGTTGGTTACAAATCAATAAACCGTGTATTGTGTGATGAGTGCGAATTGCACGAGAAATGTTTTCACGGTTTGTACAGGGTGTGGGCAAATTTCTTTTGAACCCTGAATTTTGTAACAATTTACGTACCGGGGAGTTACAGTGCTCTAATACTTTGAGACGCGTAACTGAACATAAAATTTGCAGGAACCCCATCGAAAGAAAATCTCGCTGAAACGGGGAGACATTAGGCAGGATAGGAAATATGTTTAAGTTTTGTGTCACGAGAGAGTGTCGAATCACCTATCTATGTAAACAGACGGGAAATAGCTTGTTATTAATTCTTACAGTATCCTTAATATATTTTTCGTCAAAGGGGGGTCGATTTCGTACCCAATAAAAATGCGACAGTCTCGTGTACTTTATGGATATTTTTCTTTTTACGTGAAGCATGAGATTATGAACTATGTTCCATTCAGATTATCGGTACGCGTCGTAAAATGACAAGGAAAATGGCGGTGTTCATTTTGTGTAAATAGGTGTTGATGTAGCATCTTTAGACACGTCTAGTTCCGAAATTTTGCGTAAGGTAACGCTGGCGGTCTTCGGCGTCACGTGGAAGGAAGAGAATTTTACTGGCGTAGTCAGAAAGGAATTCCTTAGTAAAAATCTGCACCTTTTCATTCCTGAGGTTGAAATTCCTGTGGACGTGCTTGCCCATGTAAATTATTGATTACGGTTACTTCATATGAACCCTAAAACGAGCGTCAGTTTCTTAAAAATTGACTTCAATTGGTGAAAAGTAGAGACGTTTCGAAGGAATTTAATGTAAATCCCGATAGCAGAAACATGTTTCTTACAAGTTTGTTATTTTAACCATCAGAATATAAACATTGTCGTCCAATGGTTGGCACTCCTGCTTTTGGTTCCAGAGGTTTCGAGAAGAAATCCTTGGAATCCTCGTTGTATATCCTTTTGCAGTCCTCCCAGGAAACTGCCATGATAGTATCTCGCATTAGTCCGCAATATTATTTGAATTACGCGAATCTGAAGTTGGATATTGTTCGCTGTATAAAGTATATTTGGCGCCCTGAACGTTTATATACTTGGTTTTATTCCACTATCCTTGCACGTCATTATTTATTAAACTGACATGCCTCCCAGAACATTATTTTTTCCTTTATATCGTATTTAATCGATTTTAAGACTCCGTCGATTGTGAGAGACAACTTTTATTTATCAATAGGTTTCTGGAAAAAAAAATACGTGTATTACAATAGGAATTGTCAGTATTCAAAGACGAAACTTACTTTTATTACTGCATTCGGAAATATTCTTTGTTGCTAGATTTGTGTTATTGTCACGTGAATACCGTTGTGGATATAAACATTTTTATTTCGCGTTAATCATACATAATTTTTCGAATTGTTTCTCAGACGCCATCAAACGTAAGCCGAGCTTAGATTTAAGAAAGTTTAAAATGTGAAAAAGTGCGTCTTATAATGTATAAAATACATTTATTAAAATTTTAGTCACCAGATCTCTAAATATCACAACTTCAGTCTTTGTTACTCGATTTTCTGGTTTTGCTCAGGGCCCATTGCGTTCTCAACTATTGTCAACACTGTTAAAACCCCTCAGAACTTCCCGAGTGAAAAAAAATTAAGGTTCCGTGAATTACACTTCATGGTTTGGGTAATGCTTTAAAGCAGGGGTAGCCAACCCGCGGGCCGCATGTGGCCCGCCTTGAACATTTTTCCGGCCCGCGAGATTCATCACACTTTTACAAAATATATTTATTTTATAATGGCCAAAGTAGTGAAAACCAGTGTATTAAAAAAAATACATTATTTGTGTGTTTCGCCTCGCTCTGTCCCGGAATTTGTACAGTAATTAAACCCGAGGCATTGGTCAATTATAACAGCTATAGTACGCGACTGTAATCTTTAGAATTTGAAGTCCGTAGCGTTAAAGGCAGACGCTTTCCTCCTGACGACTCAAGTCTCAAGATTACAGTCTTACACTCTACTCCCTGGCCAGAAATCAGATGGAATTTTTCTGAATACAAATCACACATTTGTCTGTCCACATGTTTCATCTCGGTAACTCCTCGTAAGACTTAAATTAAAATCGGTGCTTCATTAAACACTAGTTGCAGTCAGGACAATTTAATTTCATGACGTGTTGGTTCGGCGAGGTAACTTCACAGATGCTGGAAAGTTCTCTCCTCATCTCAGATTGAAGATCTCTGCTTTCCAAAGATCCTGACAGTTACAACCGGTGTAAGGTGTTTCAGTGTTTTTTTTTATAAACGCGATTGTATTCATGCTAACCACGTGCGTCCAATAACGATTTCGAACATCAGATCCATCTTGTCTTTGGTCTACCAACGTTTCTGTTTCCCCCTGGTATGTTTTAACGTCGTATTTCTGATGCCATTAATCTGAAAGCTCCATCTAGAGCTGTGTATGAGCCTAAATGTTTATTAGCTTTTGGATTGAATATATATAAATATATAAAACACTTGTCCTATCTCTTTATATTTCATTCTGTTTTCGTCTATCCATGTTTCTTTAGCATGAGAAGAATCTCCAAGACCTTATTAAATTTATTTTGCCTTATACTAAAATTTTATTAGTTTCATTCATGGGGTATTTTGGTATTTTTCCATCTTGTTCAATGTTTTAGTCATTATCGTAAGTGATGTGACGTACTATGTTTTTCGTAGTGCCGGCTCATGCAGGATATATTTTTTTTTTTTAAAAGTCGATTGTTTTTTTTTTTGGGGGGGGGGATTTTCAAAGCATAGCCCGCCATCTTTATGGCAATCGAAGGTTTATTCGTGAAGTGCAATATTATTATTATCTGACAGCAATAAACTTTCGGCAAGAAAGTGATTTGAACTTTGTCCTTGTTGTTACGAAAGTGTGAATATGTTCACACGGAACTAGT